CTTTCCATGCTCCTCTCCCTATCCCACTTCGAACATCTCATAGGTGTAGCAGACGTGTTTCCTTAAGAGAGCGATTGGGAGTGTTGCGGACGCGGAAGCATCACGCTTATTCAGTTATTCAATCGCTCCACAAATGTAAATGATGAGTTCTAGAAATCCTGTTCCACCAACAGAAGAATATGAGCGAAACAAATATCTTAAAATTTTCCACCAAGATAGAAACCTGACGGATCGCAAACGAATGAGTTGGGAAGCTTCAATGCTTCCAGAGCTTTATAAACGTTGTAGGAGTAGCAACAAGGTATGCAGCAAAAATGAGGGGTCTCAGGGATATTTCGGCTGACGCTCAGCTTTTTTCAGTACTGATGCTTTCATACGTATTGATGCTTTGATGAAGTTGATTTAGATCTGGCACTCGTTCCATACCTGTGCAGGAACTTCGCTCTATACTAGCATCGATTGGCGAACGTATGAGCCACCAGGAGATCGATTTAGTGCTGAAGCAGGTATGTGCTCTTCAGGAACGTTCTGTGTTCACCATTTCCTCCTTTTTAGTGAAGCTTAAATTTAAAACAGGAGTGTCAGACATAACGGCTTTACTAGAACTACTTGGACCTTAATTTTTGAGTAGATTGTGGTGTGATTTTGTGATTTCAGGTTGCTGTCGGTGGTATAGTACCGCACCAGAAGCTCATCGAATACTTCTCGAGGTAGACTGGTTTCTACCGACTTTGCGCCAACCATGTATATCTGCGAACTCTGTTATAAAGCATGAACGCATCAAACATAGGCCTTATTAGGCCGTACTTTAATGTTTTTTCTTGTTTTTCATAGTGATTACAAATCTGGAATTTTTTAGCTCATTTACGAGCCAATCAGAAAAATGATAAAGGGATCTGTGTTAGTAAATAACATTTTGTGCAAATTTAATAGTATGTATTTGGTTCCTTCAATAAATTTCAATAGCCCAGCCCATTTCGAAATTAATGCTTAGACGCCGATTGAACCAACTATCTACTTCATGTCGGAGGTACTTTATCGTAATACTAGTTGAGCTATGCATGCTCACACGTACATCGCAACAAAGAACTCTCCGAATATGCTGACCTGAACTTTGCTCGCCAGAAACATGGCTTCCTGGCGGTGGTGAAGTCAAGTTATGGATTTGAATAGAATAATCCTCCATCTTTTGAATTATATAATGGAACAGTTTTAAACACAGCTATAAATTTTTGATCTCAGCCCCGCTCACCTTGGTGCAAACTCCGCTTACCTTAGGAGTTTGACCGCATCACTTCTATAACCACCTTTTTCCTGCCCTCTAGAACGTTATTGGACGAAGATACGAATATTTGAATTGTGGCTCGGCCCATTTTTTGCAACCCCCGACCACTTTGGTAATTCGACCACATTTATTCTACTACTGCTAGCCACTTTCTTTCTGCGTTCTGGTCTTCGACAGAATTATACACATTTTTGGAGCGTAGCATCCATTTAAACGCACGTCCCATCCATCGTAAGCAAAGTTTCGCTTGGTCTCCCCTCTTAGCACTGTGGATAGTCACTTTCAGTGGGCTTCAAATGGCTGTCTTCTTCTCTACACCTTGGATTTTTTTTATATCTTTTCCCCCGTTGTTTGTGTTCTCTTCACATCGCTAAGTGTACGCATGCCAATACGCATTAGCGTAGCTCACTCCTACTGTTTTTTCTGACCTGCATGGCTTCGTTGAATTGAGTTATGAACTTATGCAAGAAGTACCACCCAGTGCAAGTTCTCGCCGCTCACCGAAGGTAGTTTATCTCCTTAACTCCACTTTCTGACCCTTCCCCAACCTTTGTCTTTTTTTTTTCGGCGTTTAGGCTGTTATAAGTCATACTTAAGAAGTTTTACCATCCACTGTAATTCATGTCCCGCCCCTGTGACATGCACTCCAGTAGATGGAGCTCACATGTGCTCTGTTGATCCTATGTATTCCCATCAAACCTGATCCACCTCCTGCAGGTATTTCTTCAGGTATTATCGAATTTCCGTACAGGCAAAGAAACAAACAAACAGACAGACAGGCAGACATAAGGGTTTTATATATCGTAAGGATCATTTTGGTGTTTTTCAGTGAGTTGAGCCACCCAGTCACTCCTCTTACGTTTGCGAGTCGTTAAGTGATTCATCTTCGAAGTTTCTGCGATATTCTGCAATGTACTACAATGTGTAGATTATAGTCCAGTAAGCAACCATCAGCACTTACTCCTACTGCTGAATTCTGAAGTGTAAGAGCTGAATAGCCATGAAAAAGGCTCCAAAGTTCCATGTCAGGTGCTGTTAACTGACCACATTTTAGCCGTAGGCGTGCGTAACACTTGCCTGCCCTATCAGTTATCACAGATATCTATCTTAGTGATGAAAAAAAGCCAAGTCTTCTCTGTCTAACGATGACACGAACAAACTCAAAACTGCTTGTGCACCCAGTGAGCCTGAGATGGGCGAGTCTTGAACAGTAACGTACTTGCCCAGAGACGGAGGTGGAGTGGTGGACTCCCTCATTCTGCTGCGCTTTTCGATATGTTCTGTTTCTCGCTGACCATCCACGCATAGTCTGGGTGGAGAGACTGTAGGTGCAGCTAGTATCCTGCCGACTCAGCCACAAGCTTGCATTCGAGTGACCAGGAAGTATCTGAGAGACGATTCGGGGCCTCCTCCAAAGCCTAAGCGTCTCGTC